GGGTGCCGAAATGGGGTAGAGAAGGGCAGCTGACTTGGAACCAGAAAGTCATGGTTCGACTCCCAGCCCTTCCCAGATATTGTGGTGTCTCTGAGCAATACACCTAATCCTCAACTGCTCCCCTCCCCTGCTTCGTTCTCAAATTGAAAACCAGTGCCAGGAAACTGATTTTTCCCAGAGGACTTTCCCCAGGCGCTCCACAGCTGCCCACTGCTCCACCTGGGTGTATCCCAGGTGCAATGGGTTAAATGCAGAGAACCAATTCCATCGTTGTGCGGGAATACAGTGATAACATATAGCACACTTGCCAGTCTGGATTAACTAAACCTGATGTTAAGCCTTGCTTGGATTAATTAAACCAGATCTTTAGCCTTGTCTTTGATAACTAAGCACCTCTGTTTCTGATGATTTGCATTTGAATAAACATCATAAACTGTTCCAGAGATGATTCTCAATCCTCACACTGCTGAGTTGCAGAGAGAAGGATCTGATCCCTATCCACAGATCAAACTACGAAAAACTGAACCAACAGCAGAGCATGTGTGGACTGTCCTAGTTCAGACTGTGGTAAAGTTAGTTTTACGCTGGATGTTGGATATTCGGGCTCTTGTGTTCTTGTGTTGCTCTTGCGATCCGATGCAGGCAGTCTGATTTCAGCCAGCTGTGCTCGGTCTCTCCCTCCTCTTCTCCTAGGAAAGGTTCACTTAGGGACTGTCAACAAATTACCGAACCAAACACTTCAGAAACATTTCTATTTTTCTATGATCTGCCCCACTCACATAAAACTTAGATCAAACTACTCCAAGACCAGGGAAACTAGGCGCACTCGTTTATTTCTCATTTTAATGCATTTTATAATTTTAATTTTTCATAAATCAGGGTTTTTGCTCGATAACATTCAAGCGCGACTAGCCAATGTCCAACCTAAAACTAAGTTTACTGCCAAAAAAGTCCATGCTCAATAATCCAGGTATGCAATCTAACAATTTTCAGTCGGGTCTGTGGTTCCTTGACTGATGAAGCCTTCTGGATGGAAGGTGAAACGTTTCAGCACAAAAAAGAAACCGTCCAGATGATCTGACTGGAAACTGTTGGATAACTTTATGGAGGTGCCAGGATGAGGGCAAATCCCGGTTTAATGCCACCGGGTCCTGTTTGTGAGACGGGTCAGGTGTGTGGTACTCATGTGGACTTTTACCTGTTCTCTAGAAGATCCTCGCGGCTCTGACGTTTCATCTACGTCACAGCACGCGCAAACCCTGATAATCGGGGACAAGACCGGAATGTTCCGGCCCTAGTGGTTTTGGGAAAAATGATAGAAACCAACGAAAGTAGCAGAAGCTAGCTGCTGCTGTTAGCAGCTCTGGTGTGTGTGCGTGTGTGTGTGCGTGTGTGAAGCTTTAAGCCGGGACAAACCGGGATATTTACCGGGTTATCTTAGCGTCGTCAGGCCCCGGGGGTCCAGCAGGCTCCGTTAGATTCTTCTCGGACACATTTTGGGCAGGTTTTCAACATAAATCTGTACCTATGTATGTAGCTGACAAGTGTGAAGAACGAAGAAACAACTCAAACATAACTTCCGCTAGTTATTTCAAAATAAAAGACTTCAGGTGACAGAGAACGGAAGTAACGCGCGGCCCTTTAAAATAAAAGTCGCAATGCAAACAAGCCAAGAACAACAAAGCATACGTAGTTTACTTACATATACATCTGGCTTAAAAATAAATTAATATTTTAAATTGCTTTGTTGCATTTATTTTCTGAATAATGTTTTTATTCCTTGGCAAAACAAAATTTAAATGTTCTATCTTCTGTGTTCATCTTTCCAGTTGGCTTTTTTTCACTGGCTCCCAATTCAGAATTTAATTCAACATCTTAATTCTAACCTACAAAGCTCTCAACAACCTAGCTCCATATTTTATTACAGATCTTATTGTTCCATATTTCCCTAACAGCACTTCAGGTTCAAGGTTCTTTATCGTCATTCGAATCACATACATGAGGTGGAATGAAATTGTGTACAAAGGGTCCCAGTTACATCCAGCTATAGCACATGTATAAATTGTAAAAAGAAACAGTACCAAGGATTTAAGATATAAACTAAGAAATACACTACACACTCAATGGTACAAAAACAATACGCCAAACAACAGCAGTTCGAACATGAGTCTGCGTGACTAGATGAGTATGAATGAATACAACAGCATGAAATAAATCAGCAGCATGAGATCAGCAGCACTACTTATCAGCAATCAAAGTGGCATTACAGTGATTTTTTTTTTCTTTCACAGTGATAATCCTGATTAGAGATTCATGAGTCTAACAGCTTCAGGGTAGAAGCTGTTCCTCAGTCTAGTGGTTCTACACTTAATGCTCCTCAACCTCCCTCCGAGGGGAGTGGGGCAAAAAGTGTGTGTGCTGGGTGAGTGGGGTCCTTCATGATGCAGGTGGCCCTCTTCCTGCATCTGGAGGTGTAGATGTCTGTGATGGTGGGGAGGCTGACTCTAACTTCACTCTCAGACTGCAGGTTTATTTGTGGTTCCTAGAGTTTCCAAAAGCAGAATAGGAGGAAGATCTTTCAGTTATCAGGCTCCACTCTTGTGGAACCAACTTCCAGTTTCTGTCTATGAGGCTGACACATTGTCCACTTATATTAGGCTTAGCATCCTGTGCTCCAGCATCAACGTGTGGCACGGAGGCTGCACAGCTGCAGAAAGAAAAGCTTTGCAGAGAGTGGTGAAGGCTGCACAGAAGATGTTGGAGTCAGGCTCCCCACCATCTCGTAACAAAAACCCACCTGTCTTCAGTGGCTGCTCATGTCAGCAAAACTGTGTACAGGTACTGATTTCACCTCATCTGGAATTTCTTATAATTCATAAAACAAGTCAGAGGTGAGTGAAATAAAAGCCTAGGGTCAGTTGTTGTCCTCTCCTCTGCAGAATTGAGGTGTTGAGATTGAAGGACCGGGGGCCACGGGGCCCATCAACTCGCTCCTGACCTCAACATCATCAAAGTGTCCAACTACAGCCAGTCGACAGCAGATAATTCAACTTGAAGCTTGTTTTCAAGCTTGAGCTTCTTAATACACCCTCTACACTGCAGCACTACTGTTTCCACTGTGAAATGCTAAAACCAAAATGACTGTAATTAAAATAGTTTGCTCTTGATTGAGGCAGAGTGGATAACATCATCTGGTGTTGGAGTTCTGCTCTGATTTTGTCTGGTTTCCGTTTTATTTAGAAATGTGAAGCGAAACTAAAACTGTTTTGAGAAACATTAATCTATCTAGCTTTTATATGATATCTATGGCTGTTGCCACTCCATTTTTGTTTTTATTTAAGAAGATAGACCGCCATTGGCGCTGACGAGCCGTAGGGCCGCCATCTTCGAACGGTCGCCCGCTCTACTCAGTGTAGCCTGTTTGTCAGGAGCAATGAAGTATCTGCGAGTTTTAATCAGTAATAGCTGAATACTAAACTCATTCTCATGATGTTTCCCTCTGTAAATCTTAGCCGTACAGCCATTAAAGCTGAACACATGGGTCAGTGTTTTTAAATATTCTCGGTGGGGTTAACATTAACACTAATAAAATATTCTCATGACAAGTTTAGCAAAACTCACAGTCACTGATATATTTTTATTAATACGTGTATGTATATATATATATATATATATATATATATATATATATATATATATATATATATATATATATATATATAAACTTCCTGCTTCAGTTGAACAGCTGATCAGATATTCAGTGTGCAAAGCGGAGAAGTGGGCGTGGCCAACAGCGCTTGCAGGCGGCAAGAGCAGAGGAGGCAGAGAGCTAATATCATTACACGGTGTGCTCTTTAAGAGTGTTGAGTTTAGAAACATTGTCTAGAATATTGCAATAGTGTGGGAAGGGTTCAAAACGCCTTAATATATATCTATATAAATACTAAAATAAACTACTACTTACTACTTGTACTACTATTCCTACTTCGTGGATTTTCACTTATCGCGGTTTTCAGGGTATGTATCCCGTGATAAACGAGGGACTACTGTATATAGTATAAGTATATATTTATACTCTTTTGTATTTATTTATTTGTTAATTATTAGGTTTCTTGATCTGGGACCTGAGTCTGAATTTCGTACCACAAAAATGCAAATGTGAGCTGGTATGACAATAAACAATCCTTGAATCATTTTCTAGAGGTGGTTCCACTTGAGGTTGAATTTATGTATTTGTATTAACTGACAGGAACAAATAATATGTAATGGAAGTACAGTGGTGCGGTGAAGCAGTGGCTACAGCCACAGTGTGAAAGTCACAGGTTTGCTTTCCTCCTGAGGGCTTGTGTGGAATTAGTATGTTCTCCTCATGAGTGCATGAGTTCTCTGTATGTTCTCCAGTATCCTCACACAGACCAAAATCATCCACTCTCAATTGTCCCAAGGTTTATTAATTTATTTTTTCTCTTCCTTTTTTTTTTTTTATTTTGAGAGCAACATAAGCCCAATTAGTCTAAACCAGGTTAGTCTGGGGAAACATTTACCTTGGTTTAAACACTGAGTTTCAGTCAGATCCTGACCTTTCACCCGAGAGACAAAAAACTCCAAACAGGTTCAAATGCCTGTCCTACGGAGTGAGGGACAGTCACTGTGATGGACAGGAGACCAGTCTAGGGTGTCCCCGTCTCTCATCCAATGAGACATCTGCTGTGTCCTTTGTTCCACTTTGGCTCCTAAGAGTATTATTTTTTTATCCTTAAAATCACATAATTTGAAATTATGTATTTTTTTAATTGTAACTCAAAGATGCAGTTCTCTGTTTTTTGTTTGTTAGTTTTATTACCATGAGGCTTGTCTCCTTATCTGAGTTCACAGTTATACGGCTGCTGCTGTGATGATGCTCTGAGCCGTCAGCCAATCAGAGAGCAGCTCTGACTGACCTCTGGTCGAGTTGGACTTTGGATCTCCAGCTGCAGTCACACAGAATCCTCTCTCTTCTTACTGAGTGACCCATAATGAAGACGTCCAGGCCTTTACTTCTTCTTTATGTGTTGCTGATCGGTGTCTTTGTGACCACAGCCGAAGGTGGCCATGTTCTGGCCTTACCAGGCGAGTACAGCCACTGGCTGAACATGAGAACCATCATGGAGGAGCTGGTGAGAAGAAACCACACGATCACTGTCTTAGTGCCCGACGCCTCACCCTCTGTCAACTACAACGAGAGCCGATACACCGACAAGTTCAACTTCCTGGTGTTTAAGGTGACGAGTGTCGACCACAACTGATCAATATCCAGATCTGTCAGAATCAATGACTGTCAATCATCTGTCATTTTTATGTAAATCACAATCTGTTGATCAATTGTTGATGAGTTAATGATCAGTTGTTGATCAAAAGTTGATCAATATTTGATCATTTGTTTATCAATATCTGTGTCTCCTGTGGTGTCCCTCAAGGGTCAGTTTTAGGGCCCCTGCTATTTTCCCTTTACATGCTGCCTTTAGGTCAAATTATTAATCAGTACAACATTTCTTTTCACTGTTATGCCGACGAAACACAGCTTTACAGGACTGGAGCATCATCTTCATCATTGTCATCTCCATCTTCACTCGCTGCCCTCTCTACCTGCCCGGAGGAGATAAGGGCATGGATGAATCAGAACTTTCTTCAGTTAAACTGCTCCAAAACAGAGGCTATACTGATTGGCACCCCTCACCAGGTTCAAACCTCAACTATAACGGCTATTTCCTTTTCTGGACAAGACATCCCCCTCTCCACCTCTGTTACAAATCTTGGAATAAAAATGGACTCTCATCTTACATTTGAAAATCACATTAAGCATCTGTTTAAAACCTGTTTCTTCCATCTTCGAAATATCTCCAAACTTCATCCGTCTCTCACTTTTGCTGATGCAGAGAAACTCGTCCATGCCTTTGTCTCCTCCAGGCTCGACTACTGCAACTCCCTGTTTTCTGGAATCCCCGGCACAAACCTTCAGAAGCTTCAATATATTCAAAACAGTGCAGCCAGGATTTTATTGAGAGCTCGTAAATTTGAACATATTACACCCATTCTCCATAACCTCCATTGGCTTCCTGTCACTTACAGAATTCAGTACAAAATTGCTCTCATCACCCGTCAGTGTTTAAACGGAAATTCACCAGATAATCTGAAGGACCTTCTTGCTCCATATTCATCCACCCGGTCCCTACGATCACAGAACAGTCATCTCCTCCACCTTTCACAAACTAAAATTAAGGACCATGGGAGATCAGGCATTCTGTGTGGCTGCCCCCCACCTCTGGAACTCCCTCCCTGAATAGCTGAGAGCTCCACAATCATTGACTGACTTTATAAAAGGCTTAAAGACTTTTCTTTTTAAGCAAGCCTATTCTGCCTCCACATGATTGTATTGTTGATTTTAATTGATTTTATCATTGATTTTAGTTGATTTTATCATTGATTTTAGTTGATTTTATCTTTGATTTTAGTTGATTTTATCTTTGATTTTAGTTGATTTTAATCTTTGATTTTAGTTGATTTTATCACTGACTTTAGTTGATTTTATCTTTGATTTTAGTTGCACTCTGTAGCACTTTGAGATTTTTATTAATGAAAAGTGCATTACAAATTAAATTCATCATTATTATTATATGTATGTGTGTATGTATATGTATGTATGTATATATGTATATATGTATATGTATGTATGTATATATGTATATCTATGTATGTATGTATGTATGTATATATGTATATGTATGTATGTATGTATGTATATATATATGTGTATGTATGTATATATATGTATGTATGTATGTATATGTATGTATATATATGTATGTATATACTGTATGTATATATGTATATGTATGTATGTATATATGTGTATGTATGTATGTATGTATATATATGTTTGTATGTATATATGTGTATGT